TTTTGACTCTGAGCTGTAGTTTCTCATCTGTACAATGGGAATAGTATCAATTATCTGTTCAAGAAGTACAACTCCTTCTGTCTGGAAGAAGTTGTACTTCTTGAACAGGAACCAACATTTATCAGCAAAGATGTGGGCCCAGAGCCCCGAGCCCAGAGCCTGGCCCCGGATATTAATCTACTAATTCTCACCCTGTCACAGAGCTTTACAGCTGCTCTCTGTGAAATCCCCTTATCGCCTTAATCCGCCTTAGTCCACTTTTTTCCCAAGAATGGGAGGGGCCATCCCATCCTGTCATGGGGAACCAGAGAATGGGATGCCTGGCTGTGGGCCTTGATTGGACCTGGGTGAACCCAGAAGGAAGTGCTGAGTCTGGGAGCTTCCCCTGGCTGTGCGCAGGGAGTCAGAATGGGAGGGGCTTCCAAGCTGCCCTAAATGTCCTAGTCAGAAGCCATGCACTCAAAGCCATGCCAAGCTTTGGTAAGACGCCCCTCCTCTCTGCTTCACCCAGCCTGAGACCCTGTGTCCCTAGGCTGTCTTACAGGGCCAGACCACACACCCACGAGTCCATGGGCCCCAGAGCCCAGGTCTGTAGACAACACCAGGAGGCCCCGGCCTAACCTGGAGCCTAGGAGGACTTTCTCCCCGGGGCCATGGGGTGGAGGAAGGAGGAGGCCAGCACTAAGCAGCACTGAGGGCCGGCCTGGCTGCCAGGGCCTGCGATCTGTGCAGCTACACAGGACTCTGCATTTGGAAGGGTTTAATGCTCTGCAGGCATCATCCTGAAATGCTGAATAATTTTTTAACAAGGAGCTCTACATTTTCGTTTTACACTGGATCTCATAAATTATGTACCAGCCTTGCAGGGTCTAGGGGTGAGCCTGTTACCAAAGGGGACTGGGAAAATAGCCTCCCACAAGGAAAAGGCAGAATTTGGGGTCAGGAGTAGATCCCTGACCAGTGCATATGACCCTAGACGAGTCCCTTTCCTCACAAAGGCTGCTTCCCCTTAGGATCAGGGAGGGGCAATTAGATGGAGAGATTTAAAAGCGTTAGAATGGGGTAGGGAAGGGAAGAGTAGGCAAGTTCAGCACAGAGGTGGTTCCTGGCCCCTTTTCTGCCCCACCCCACTGTCCCGTCCCTCCTGGACCCTCCCGGGAGCTAATGTGATTATAGAATCCTGTGGAATGTGCTGATGGTGCCAGTGGGTTCCTTGTTCTCCCTGCAAACACCCTATTTACGTCGTTCTGGGGTCTTCATTCCTCTGAGGAGTTGGTCGCCATCCTGGAGGAACTCCAGTGCCCTACAGAGTGGTGGCACTGTGCCCCCTCCCCCTGCCTCCCTCACAGCTGACCCTTTCACAGCAAAATCAAGCTCTTCCAAGATCTTCCCCTGCCTGGGTACAATGCTGTGGCCCAAGGCCCTCCAGTCCTGAGGCGAGTCTCTGCAAGCTTTGGTAAGACGCCCCCTCCTCTCTGCTTCACCCAGCCTGAGACCCTGTGTCCCTAGGCTGTCTTACAGGGCCAGACCACACACCCACGAGTCCATGGGCCCCAGAGCAGTGCCTGAAAACCCTGAAAAACTGGGGGAGGCCCAGCATCCCTGATGTGTGCCTCCAACAAAAGCCATCTAGGGCCCACTTTACACTCAGAGGCCTGTGTGCCTGAGCAGGGTGGGTGAACTCAAAGGGTCACTGTAAGAAAAGGGTCTGACATGGGAAACTAGGCCAGTTGGGATCTAAGCTCCAGCCCAATCTCTCAACCCCACCACCACCACCAGACTGCGGGGCTGTTGGTGAAGCAGGTAGCCTGATCCACCTGCAATAGACCCCAGTGGTACTCTTATCCTCCTGCAAACCTGCTTCTCCTTCTGTCCCCATCTCCAAGGGACCCTCCATCCCTCAGGCACCCAAGCCAGGAATCTGGATATCAACTTAGACCCCTCCCTCTGGGTGCTGGGTCCCCTCTACTCTTCCCCACCCGGCTGCCACCCAGGAGGCTGCCTTGCGTGGGCAAGTTCTGTGGTTTCCAGTTGGGTTTGGCCAACGGGAGGTACCATCTCCAACAGGAGATGGGGAGGCAGGAGTGAGGTTGGGGTGTCTGCTCCAGGCCCCCTCCTTCCAGGCCATGGGTAGGCTGGTCCCTCCTGTCAAGCACCTTCTCCCACAGCCACCCTGTCTCATTCCAGCGGCCTTGCCCTCCCTTTGCCTGGGGGCGGTGACGTCTCCCACAGGTGCCGCACCATCCCTTGTTAGTTTCTCTTAACGTGTCCCGGCCTTAGTCACCAGTACCTTGGTTACTCTCCTCCATTCCCCATCTGGAGTGCACCATCTGCTTCCTGCCAGGGCCCTGTGGGAAACATCCTCTGCCCCCACCCCACCCCCACCAAGAAATACCCAGTCCTCTCAATTCTACTTCCTAAGTACCTCCCCAACCCACCTTCTTCTCCTGTCTCCCCAGGTGCCATCTAAACCCCCTGAATACTCCTAATGGGTCTCTCCACTCCACCCTGGGTCCCCCACCTCACCCTTCACAGGCAGCCGCAGGGGGGTTTCTTCAAATGCAAATCTTCAAAGAAAGATTTTTAATATTAAAGACATTTGATCATGAAAGCAATGCTTGCTTGTTGTGCAAAATGTCAAACACTACAGAGAGGTATAAAATAAGAAGTAGAAATGCCCTCCTCCCCAGTCCCCACCCTTACTCCCTGCAGAGCCACCAGGTTCTGGTTCCTTGTGGGTCCCGCCATGCACCTTCCATCCATATGTGCACATATCAATGTGCATCTCTTTTTATTCATGCAGTGGATTTGGACCACACATATAATAAGCCTGCGACGACTTTTGCACTTGTAACCTATCTTGGAGAACTTCACATGTCCACACACATAGATTAGATTTAACTCTTCCTTGATGGCTGCTTAATATTTCACGCTACAGATCTCCTAGTTTTCCCATCCACTGCCCTATGAATGACCATTCGGTTGTTTTCACAGTTTAGTTGGCTACCAGTAGTGCCGCCACTGGAATTCTGTCCAGGTATTGCTCTGCCTGTGAGTGGACATTTCTGCAGGATTGACTTGCTGGGTCAAAGGGTATATGTATGTAACATTGGAAGGATGTGTCAAATTATCCCCCTGAAACACTGCTCCAATCTACACTTGTACCAACAGAATATAAGGGTGTCTATTTCCCCACATCTTTGTCAACACTGGGTTTTAAGAAGATAATCTTACCATGCAAACTTCCTGCTTAAAACCCCTCACACCTCAAGGAGCTGGAGCATAGGGGCTGGGTGCGGTGGCTCTTGCCTGTAATACCAGCACTTTCAGAGGCCAAGGCAGGTGATCACAAGGTCAAGAGATCGAGACCATCCTGGCCAACATGGTGAAACCCTGTCTTTACTAAAAATACAAAAATTAGCTGGGCATGGTGGGAGGCGCCTATAGTCCCAGCTACTCAGGAGGCTGAGGCAGGAGAATCGCTTGAACCCAGGAGGCAGAGCTTGCAGTGAGCCAAGATCATGCCACTGCACTCCAGCCTGGCAACAGAGTCAGACGCTATCTCAAAAAAGAGTTGGAGCACAACTTTCCACCCTTAAGTGTGGGCTGTGCATAGTGACTTTCTTCCAAAGAGTGCAGGGTGGAAAGGGAGGAAAAAGGGTAACCTGAGGGTTACAGTGGAGAAGCCTGACAACACTACCTCAGCCAGGTGACCGAGCTCAACAGCAACAGGGGTAAGTCACGGTGACAGTGCACACCTTTGTTACGATGGTGTAAAAATCACCCTTTGCTTCTGTGGTCTTCCTCTCCCAAACCCATAACCGAAGTCTAATCGTGAGAAAAGCACAGGACAAATCCGAATTGAGGGACAGCCTCCTCAAAACTGTCAAGGTCATCAAAGACAAGGAAAGACTGACACACTGTCACAACCAAGAGGAGCCTAGGGAGAGACACCGACTGAATGCAATGTGGGGTCCTAGATGGAGTCGGAAAAAACAAAGGAAATCTGAATCAACTATGGACTTCAGTTAATGATAACGGATGGACATAGGTTCAACAATTGTAACAAATATACCCACACTCATGTAAGATGCTAATATTAGGGGAAACAGTGTACAGAAACTCCTTACAAACTTAGAATTATTTTCGGAAACTTTAAATCTGTTCTAAAATATAAAGATAAAAGAAAAATCTCACATCCAGAGCAAGCCTCCCACAGGCACGCAGTGGCCTCTGCGACCGGGCCCTGGCCTCCTGTTGAGTTGTGTCTCCCTCCTCTCTCTTCTAGGTACCTCCCATTCCTGCCATATCTGCAAGTCAAAATTTCCAGAAAGCCCCACTCTGCTCAATTCTCTGGGCTGCTGAAAATTATGCACACACCGCCCCACCCCTGCCCCCCAACCGCCACCTGCCCCGTGAATACTTCCTACTCGAGGACAAACCCCAAGATAAAGGAGGCTTCCTCCAGAGAGCTCTCCTCTCGCCTCTGACCCCAGCACGGGCTGGCTTGGTGCCCAGTCCCTGGCACCTCCAGGACTGCTTCTCCAGCTTCTCAAGGGAGTGAAGTGGAAACTGGGTGTGGGAGCTGTCTTAGTTTCCTGTGACTGCTGTATCAAATTCTCACAGAGTGGCTTCAAAAGCAGTAGAATTTATTCTCCCAGCACTGGAGGCCTGAAGCAGAAACAAAGCATCAGCAGGGCCATGCTCCCTCTGGAGGCTCTGAGGGAAGCCATCTTGCCTCTTCGGCTTCCTTGGCTGTGACCACATCACGGCCATTTTTGCTTCTTTATTTTTTATTTTATTATTATTATTATTATTATTATTATTATTATTATATTTTGAGACGAAGTCTCACTCTGTTGCCCAGACTGGAGTGCAGTGGTGCGATCTCGGCTCACTGCAACCTCCACCTCCTGGGTTCAACTGATTCTCCTGCCTAAGCCTCCCAACTAGCTGGGACTACAGGTGCCTGCCACCACGCCCAGCTATTTTTATTTCTAGTAGAGAGGGCGTTTCACCATGTTAGTCAGGATGGTCTCGATCTCTTGACCTCGTGATCCACCTGCCTCAGCCTCCCACAGTGCTGGGACAAGCAACTTGCCAACTGGGTGTGAGCCACCACGCCCAGCCTGCCTTACTCTTGTAAGGACACTTGCCGTTGGATTGAGGGCCCACTTGCATAATACAAGTTAATCTCTTCATCTCAAAATTCCTCATGACATCTACAAAGAATTTCTTTCCAAATAAGGCAATATTTTTGGGTTCTGGGGCTTAGGACATGGGCATATCCTTTTGGGGCCAGCCATCCAGCCCCCTAGAGTCCAGTGTGGCTGGTTCCAAAGGTCCCTTCTTGGCTTGCCTTGCAGGCGGGTTCCTCTTCTCCACGGGTTGGTTGGTCCTTGCTCCACGTGGAGTTGGGGGCTTGGGGACTGGCCACTGAGGGCATGCTGCTCACAAAAGCCGTCTGTGGGCACCCTCCCAGACTCAGGGTCACTGTGCTGGCTGGAACATAAATGGGCCCCGTTGCAGGCGGGGTTGTCCTGGAGCAGATCTTGAGATAGACTTTGACATGGAGGATATTTACTAGAAAAGTCGGCACCTGAGGAGGAGATAGGGAGGAAGCAGGATTTGGTAGAGAGAAGTTGAACAGTGACACAGGTCCAACCGAGTTTCAGCCATCCCTGGAGCCCAAGTGGCCCATCTCAATTATCCCATGGGAGGTCAAAATGTCTGCACCTTTACATCCTAGACATGATCAGTCACTGGTCAGCCCTTTGTGAAACAAGGGCGATGATAGCTCCTAACTTCTAGGTCAGAAGGGTTAAGTGAAACGCCCTGGCCGCTCACAGCTGCCATCCAGCTGTCAAATTTTGACTTGCAGATATGGCAGGAATGGGAGGTACCTAGAAGAGAGAGGAGGGAGACACAACTCAACAGGAGGCCAGGGCCCGGTCGCAGAGGCCACTGCGTGCCTGTGGGAGGCTTGCTCTGGATGTGAGATTTTTCTTTTATCTTTATATTTTAGAACAGATTTAAAGTTTCCGAAAATAATTCTAAGTTTGTATAGAGCTTCTGCACACTGTTTCCCCTAATATTAGTATCTTACCTGAGTGTGGGTATATTTGTTACAATTATTGAACCTATGTCAGCTGTAAGGGTTATCTTCCCCTTACAGAGGGGAAAAGCCGGCCTCAGAGAAGACAAGCAACTTGCCAAGGCCACCCAGCTAGTAATGGCAGAGCCAGGACTTAAACTGAGGTGTGCCTGATGCAGAGCCTGAGCCCCTGAGAGCTGCTGGGGGAACCCAGAAGCCCGGCAGGTACCTGGCTCCACACCCAGCTCCCCGACGCTCGCTTCCCACTCCCCATGCCCTGTGCAGCATCCTCCCAGTCACTTCCCATCTCCATCCTCCAAACCCCAGGGATCTCTGTGCCCTGGGGGACCCCATCCAGGGGTCGCCTGGCCTCCCTCCCCTCCCCACAACCAGTGATCCAGCCTCCCGGGGCCCCTCACAAATCTCCAGCCATGGCCATCACCTGCCTCCCCATGCCCTCTGCCCCCACTCCCTCTGCCCCCACGCCCTCTATCCCCACTCCCTCTGCCCCCACTCCCTCTGTCCCCATGCCCTCTGCCCCCGCGCCTTCTGCCCCCACGCCCTCTGTCCCCACATCCTTTTCCCAATGCCCTCTTTCCCCTTGTCTTACCTTTTAAAGTGGTACACAGAGGCCTAGCTGTCCCAGTCAGAGGCGACCTTCTTCACGAAACCCTTTTGACTGGAACTCTCCCTCCCTTCTCTCTCCCAAAAGACTCGATTTCTATCTCAATCAGGGCTGAGTTGCCTTGGGTCTGATATGAATCTGCTTCCCCCAACAAACCAAAGCTTCCAGGAGGGGTGAAAGTACAAGTTAGGAGCTCTCACTCAGCCAGCTGCATGGCCCGGGGCTGGCCACTTCCTCTTTTCTGAACCTTACATTGCTTATCTGTAAAATGGAGCTAACAGAGCACATTGCCAGGCACAAAAAAGGTGCTCAGTAAATGCCGTCTCTCAGCCTTTAGCCTGGGTGCAACTTTGTATCTGCCTCCAGGGCTGCAAACACTCCCTGCCCAGCTGACCCTTGGCTTTCAATTGTCTGTTTCCTCCACACTCCCAGACCTGTTTCCCTTCTGTTAACACAGGCTGTCCTAACCATTCCACGCAGCGGACCGTGTGGGGACTAGAAGAGGATTAGCCCAGCAGAGGCTTTGTGGGCATGTTGCTTTCTTCTTTTGCCCCTCCAACTGCCTGCCCTTTCCATCCCAGCAATGGACGGGCTGGGAGCCAGCTGGGCCCGGGCGCCCAGGCTCACCGTGTGGCCTCGGCCTCAGTCATTCCTCCCAGGATCCCAGCCACTCTTCACCCCTACGAGCAACTGCGGGGTCCTGGCAGGGGTGGGAGGCAGCTCTAGGGACGCAGCTCTGCCCTTGACTGGGAATGGACGCCGAGGCTGCTGCTGCCTGCTGGCAGTCTATCCTGCTGTCCAGTCCCCTGGCCGCAGACCCTCTCTCTTCCTCCTTCACAGCCTGCTCAGGTCCACTCTGACGGGGCGAAGCAGAGCTCCCCAGTCCAGGAAGCCCAGTTATCATCAGGCTCTGTGGCCCTGGCAAGTCCTGCCAGTGTCTAGGAGGTGACCAGGACCAGTTCTGAAAACCCAAGAAGCTGGAGCACAAATACCCCTTCCTGACCCTGCCACCTGCAGTGTGAAGGCTCCGAGCAGTGACTCCGAAGCCAGCCTTAGCCACAGTCAGCAGTGTCTCTGGGCAAGTTATTTAATCCTCCGTGCCTCTGCGTCTTCATCTGTAAAGTGGAGGAACAGTGTCTACCCCGCAGGGCTGGTGCGTGGACTAAACGAGGTAATACACAGGGGACTCTCGGGACAACAGAGCCCCTGGGAAGCACTTCATGAGGATTAGCCATTATTATTTCACCTGTGTTCTGTGTGTGGGGAGGACAGGAACTACGGTCCCCACTGGCAGTAAGGAAACTGAGGCCCAGAAAGGAGCCACACCTGTGTCTGGGCCTCACCCTGGCCTCTTGGTTTCCTAGGCTACCGCAGCGTCCACCACACCAGCTCTCTACCTCAAGGTCCTCTGCGGTTCATGAGCACCTCCTGTGTGCTGGGCATAGCGCAGACTGGACGGCTCTAAGGCATAGCAGGAGAGCTTGGGCTTCACTGCATGCAGGTGGTTTACGGTAAACCCACAGTCTGGGTGTGGTGACCCACGCCTGTAATCCCAGTACTCTGGGAAACCAAGACAAGAGGATCTCTTGAGGCCAGGAGTTTGAGGCCAGCCTGGGCAACATAGCAAGACCCTATCTCTACAAATAATAATAATAATAAAATTAGCTGGATGTGGTGGTGCTTGCCTGTAGTCCTAGCTACTCGGGAGGCTGGGGCAGGAGGATCATTTGAGCCCAGGAGAGGCCAGGAAATTCAGCCAAGGTCACACAGCTGACACACAGCAGCCAGGTCCTCCATCTGCTTGGCTTGAGCCCTTTGTCCCACACTGGTTCCCAAACATAAATGTCTCAAGGACACCCAAAACACAGCCCACCAGCTGGCCACCCACTTGCCTTGGGACTTTTATAAAGAAACCCAAGGCTCAGGTGCCTGTTCCCCACTGAGAATGCCCCACCCACCATGACTCCTGACCTCAGCCCCTAGGCCCTGCCTTGCCCCTCATAGCCACCAGACTACCCTGTCACCCACTTTAGTACAAGATAGGATAAGTCTTGGTACCCTCCAAGAGCGCTGCCACCACCAATGATTACAGAGGGGCAGCAACAGAATTTGGGATACTGATTTGGGTTGTTTTTTGGGGGCTGTATTTCTCCTCTTCTCTTCCTCTTTGAAGCAGGGCTCTGTTCTCATGACTTGGGGGGCTGTGGCAGGACCCCCAGCAGAAGTTTTCTGCTAGACCCTGCCCTTCCTGGTTGAGATTTCTAAGGCTCCTTAGGAAAATGACGCTTGTGATGGGGGCCTTCTGAGGAAAGCTCAGGAGGGAGGAGGAAGGAGGCTCCCCTGTGTGAAAAGACAGCAGCCCTCACTTGGGGTGGGGGTCACATGAGCCCTGAAATAGCAGGGCCTCAGGGAGGCGTGGCCACCCAGTTTCAGACCCTCCAGAGACTTGAGGTCTCACAGGGTCCTGGCTGAGGTCTCAGAGCCATGGGTCGTGCCAGCACCGTGGGAGGGCTGGGTGGTGACTGGTGTGGGCCTCCCATGGGCCTTCGCCTGAGACGCAGGGTCCCTGTCTCACCACCTCAGACAGATAGATTCTTAGAAAAGCAGGACCACAGCACCACTCACACACCTGGGCATGTCGCTGCCCAGCAGCAGGCAGCTTTACCTCACCTCCCGGAGACTGTGCCGTTACCCTCCAAGGAGGAGCAGCCCCTGCCTGCAGCCCCTGCCCCCCAGTCATGGGGAAGCGCTGCAGCATCCCACAGGCTTGCCTGTGCCCAGCTGTGCACATGCCAGGCGTTAGGAGGCCCGGCCTCTACTTCTGCCCCTCATGTTTCCTCAGGCAACAACCTCTGCCCCTGTGGGGGTCGTCCATTTCACACCCACCCCACGCTTCCCCTGCCCTATCCCACAGGCGATCCCCACCCCTCCCTCCACCGCCCCATATAGAGGCTCCTCACCCCATTTCCTTGGAGTGTGCACTGCCCACTTTGGGGTGCTCTGAGAGCTCCTCCCACGGTCTTAGGGAGGAAACCATGAATGAAGAAGCCAGGAGTGAGGCCCAGCCACAGCTGTGGTCCCTGCAACCCCAGCCCTGCCTCCTGGCTTGGTTTCTTTGAGAGAAAGAAGCTCCTGCTGCCCCCCACCCCAGCCGGATAATTAACAGGCTCATCGGGGGCGCTGGAGGAAGCAGCCCCGGCAGGCAGGTGCAGGAGCCCAGCCTTCCCCAGCCCCCACACGGTTATCAGCCCTGAGTTGCATCCCGGCCTCAGGGAAAGTCGCTTCAATAATTTATTCGGACATTATCACAAACCCACTCCCAGCATAGTGGGAAGTGAGGGAAGGAAGGCACCGCGGCTGGAATGCCAAGCAGGGCAGCAGCCTCACCTGGCAGGGGGGCGGGTGCTGGGAATGCTGGGAGGAGGGCTGGTGCCTCCGATCCCGGGGACTGTCCACCTCTTCTCTTGGGCTCATCCATAAAATGGGCAAGGAAATACCTGTCCTGTTCCTCTCCTGAAGAGTAAAGAGAAAATGACGCCCCCGCCAAGCCTGGGCACCAGGGGTCCTGGGTCTTGGGGTCCTCCCCTGCCCTTCTGCCTGGTCTCAGCGGCAGAGCTGACTCCAGAGCCCACGGGGTCTGTCTGGCTCCCCCAGCCGTCCCTCTTTTCTTTCCTTGCACCATGCCAGGCACGAAAATGGGCACTCGAGGTAGAACCCAGAAAAAGGTAAGTCCCTGTTCTCATGGGGCTTTGAGATTTTGAGTGGACAAAAAGCGTTCACTGAGATAATTTATGGAGCAACTGAAACAGGGTAGTAATGGGACAGAGTGACCTGGGATAGGGAGCCATCTCAGCAAAGGCTGGCCAGCCAGGGCCAGCAAAGGAAGGCTGAGCTGAGACTGAAGAGGAGTGGAAGATGTGGGAGGAGAGTGTGGGACAGACACAGCTGCAGATGCCCATCCAGAAGAGGAAAGACACTGGAGTGACAGATCCTTAGGGCCCCGTAGGCCTGGTGAAGGCTGCATTTCCATTCAAAATGCGATGGGAAGTCATTGTAGGATTTAAGGTCGAGGAGAGGTGCCCTGCCCCTCTTAACATGTCTGAGGATTGAATGAATGAATGAGGGAGGGAGGGAATGGGTGATTGTGTGCATGAGTGGGTTCAGCCATGAGGACGCAGCAGTGTTGTCATCACCACCGTCATGAACGCCACTGAGACTAAATCTTTGCCCATCTCCTTGATCATTTTGGCAGAATACACTCCTAGAAGTGCCGATAATAATGATTTGTGGGACATGAGACAGCCCTTGGTGTCACAGAGAGAGTTGGGAGATGGCGGGGAACAGGACACTTCTTGCAGAAGGCAGGGCTACCCAGGCAAGGAAGAGGTACCCCCAGGCAGACAGGTGAGTCATGGCTGGAGAGTGGCAGATCTTCAGTCTTCACTGAGGCCTGGGACATGGCTGCTTCAGACGGCCTCATTTTGGGGTGCCAGTTCTGCATCAATGTCTCTAAGGGCCACAGCCATTGGTCTCGGGGTCCTCTCCATCACCATCATCTCCACTGTATCATCCCTCCAGCACCCCACACTGACTCCTGCTCTCCTTCCAGGCCTCTGTCACCTGGGCCCTGGAGCTCCAGAAAAGAGGAGAGGCTGGATGCCAGCTTGAAGTGGGGCCTCCTCCATGAGGACTGGGGTCTTCTCCCCTCAGGACGGTGCCTGTCAGGGGAGACTGAGGCAGACCCACTGGCCCCAGGCATTTGTCTGTCCATCTCTTTCTTTCTATGGCCAAAGCCAGACAAGGAGCAGGGGCTGAGACCTGGGCCAGAGGAGCCTGCATAGATGGGTGAGAGTCCCAGGGAGTCCCAGGGAGCCCCAGGGCCTAGGCTGGGCCACAGCGTTCATGACCAGCTCTAGGTCCAAAGTGAATGGTCAAGGTCCGCTGTGGTCAGCCTCTGGACTCCTTAGCTAAGTCTGTGAGCCCCTCTTTCCTCATCTGTAAAATGAGAATAATGATCATACCTTCCTCACACAATTGAGATTATAAATATTAATAAATAAATGATAGTATTTATTATAATAATAACAGCTAACACTTTTTAAACACAATGTGCTAGGCACTGTTCTAAATACAATGGAAATAATCTCTGCAAAGTGCATAGCATGAAGCCTGGTCCTCAGTAGGTGCTTAATAAGTGCTGCATGGATAAACTGAATGAGTGGAG